GGGATGTTGCGACGGGGGGCGCAGGTCGCGGAGTCCCCGCGGTGGCGGCGGCCGCTTTGTTGGCGGCGGGCTGGGGAGCAACCTTGAGCGCGGGCGCGGAGACAGTGATTTAGGTGGCGGCGCTGGAGCGTGAAGGTAAATGGCCACATTTCACCGTCGGGAGGTGAGCTGGGCGCTGCGGCCCCTTCCCCCAAGGCCCCCCGCGCTGGCGGGCGGGGCTGCGCGGCCCTGGGGACCCGCCTGGCCCCGGGGGTCGCCGCCCCTCCTGTCCCTGGCCGTCGCCCTCACCCCGCCGTCCGCCCGCAGTTTGGGGAGAGGTGCGGAGGTGAAAGCTCAAAGCCACGGCCACACTCAGCTGCCTGCTTCTGTCGCGATCCGGTGGCCCCTGGCCCCTCCCGAATGTCACACATCCCCTCTAGTGCTCCTCCAGGAGGCAGGGCCGCCTCATCTCCTCAGGGCAAACGTGGAAACTGAGGCTCAGGGGGTCAAGGGCCCAGCTGAAGGCCTCAGGGCTGGGAGGGGTGGAGGAGGCTGAGGACCCAGGTCCCTGAATCCTGTGCCCTTGGCCTGGAGAGCTTGGATCTGGGTGGGCACCGGGTGCTTGTGGGGTGGGAAAGGTTGGCCTTCAGCAAACCTCACGGCTTTAATGGCCGAAGTCCTGTTTTTGGCCATACAGTCGCTGCTCACTCCTCTTTGGGCCAAAGCTTCCTACCCTGCCCCTCCAAGTGCTCAGCCTCCAACTTTCCAGCTCCCAGCGAGTGGAGCATTGAGACCCTGTGATTCAAATACTTTGCTAGGAGACAGGAAAGGAAAGAGCTCCACTGGGGCATGCATGTGGCAGGACAGTCCCCAGCCCATCACCTTCCAGGCCCTTCAGAGCTGTGGAGTAAGGCAGGGTTCAGAAAAGGAGGAGAAAGAGAGGGCCCAGGGCACTAGGTTTTAGCCAGGTAAGCCTTCAGCCACTGCCATCTATGTGGAGGCCTTGAGCAGGTAGAAGGGAAATAGCTTCCTGTTCCACTTGGGGCAGTATTTGGCCCACTTGGTCCTTATTATTTATAATGTTATTCATTATTATGATATTATTGGTCATTATGATTTTTATTGGATATCTACTATGTGCTAGGCATGTCTCTAATCATGCCAGCAACTTCATGCCCGTGAATATGTATTGTCATCCCCATTTCATGAATAGGAACACTGAGGCTAGGCCCCTGGTCATTACTGAGAAGTAATGGAGCTGAGGTTGGGTGCTGGCCCCACTAATCCTAAAGAGATCCCTCTCCCTGCAGCCTACTGCTTTTCTGATCCACTGCGTCCTGCATCAGGGGTAGAGAACTCTGCCAAGGCCTGCCACCTAGAGCCTAATGGCAAAGGAGACTGGGATTTCCCTCCCTACTCTGGTTTTCCCTGGGACAGTTCTTCCTGGGAGTCTGGGTTGGACCTCAGGTCAGGGCGCAGGCTAGTCGGGTGAGGTAAGTGGAGGTCTAAGTTCTCAGTGGGTCTTATGTTTTCAGGAGCTCTGTGGGGTCCTGCTGAGGAGGTTGGTTACCCCAACCCTGAAGGTAGGAGATAAAGTGAGGGGGAGGAAGAAATCACCCCGCATGATCTGATGACCTCTTGGAGGGGGTCAAAGAAACCAAGCAGAGACCTTTGATGAGTGTGTAAGACAGGTCCGTCCGGGGGTGTCTGTCCTCCCCAGGACATTTCCTGAGTAGAAATCAAACCAGCTACAGAATCCAGATGCACAGGAGACTGAGGTGGTGGGGAATGAGGCCCAGGAAATGCAAACCTCTTGCTCCTCAGTCCCCAGTTACTATGACAACTTCTATTGACTGACATTTATTGAATGCCCACTGTATGCCTCAAATTGCCAAACCTCCTTTGAGTCCTGACAGCCGCCACGTGGAGAAGGAACCATTATCAGACCCACTTGATAGATGGGTCAATAGAGGCACGGGCCTTCTTCCTCCTGCACGGAAGATCACAGCAGCTAGAAAGGGGGCTCTACCCTCAGTCCTAAGTGCAGGGCCCGGCCCACTTGGAAGCCTTCACAGGAGGCAGCTCTGATGGTTCTTGGCTCCTAGTGGGTGGAGGTTTCGGGCTGGGGCCACGTTGCCTTTCATCCCATTGTCTCTGTGCTTGGCTTTAGAAGTCATGTCCTCCTTCTCGGGTCTCAGGGAGCACCTCCCTGCCAACTTCTTCTGCACCTGCCTTTGTGCCTGCACCTTGGCCCCTGATCTGGGAGACTCATGTGGGAGCACATGTGCGTGGGAATGTGACTGGAGGAAGCAGCTGCTTCCGAGATGACACTCGGTGATGGAGAGCAGGGAAGGCTCTCCAGGACACTCCCTCTCAGGACAGCCTCTGATCCTAGGTCTGGGATTTTCAGGACTCCTCCCACAACCCCCACCATTTCTGAGCTGGGATTGTCCTATGGATAAATGGGAGCTGCCGCAGGCTCACCTCTTCCCTTGTCTGTTGCACAATGGTGAGGAGATCAGGGGACAATCCACTGTCAGGGTCCTCAGCCCTTTGCCGCTCTCTCCATAGCTCCTGTTTTAGAATCCTTGATTCACCTAGTGCCATAGTTGGCAGGGATCCCCAGTTCTACACTGGTCCAACCCAGATAAGGAAAGGGAGGCACAGAGAAGGGGAGCAACTTGCACAAGGTCACACAGTGAGTTCGCTGCAGGCCTACTGTCTCCTGATGCTGGGGAAGTCAGTCAGATGAGATGAGAATCTCCTAGGGCCCCCAGGAGATTGGAGGGGCCTTGAGAAGAGAGAAGGGCCCCTCCTTCCTCTTTCTGGGGGTGTTGTCAGCTGGAGCACCGGCCACCCCCTCCCCATCCTCACACACCGGCTGGAATTGTCTTAATGCAGCAAATTGTTCATACACATGTAAGCAAATATCTTCTCAAATTATCTCTTATCACCAAACAGGCTGCGTTGCTCACCGGCTGGAGGGCCGAGGATGTCTTTCAATCCACTGATGGTGGGGAGGGGCAGGGAAGGGGGGGCCGGCTGACACCAAAAATAAACCGGTGGAGCGAGGATGGTTGTCGCAAGGGGCAGAGCGAAGTTGTCAGGCGGCGAGAGCGTGTGAGGCGGCAGGACGATAATGTGGCATGACACTTCTGAAATGAGCGGCCTGTTGCCATGGTGAGCAGCCAGGAGGGACCGGCTCTCCGGAGGCTGAAATAAAACACGCTTTAAATGATGTTTGATTAGAATTTAGATCATGTAACCGAATACCTCAGTCCTCCTCTTCCTGGTGCTTTTCTTCTTTTCTTCTTGATGATTTCTCCTTTTCTTCCCTCCATCCCCTCCTCTCCTTATCCCGGGCAGACACAGTTACACACACCCACACATCTGCATGCATGCAAATGCAAATATGCATGCACACACACAAGCACACTTTGGTGTGCACACATGCACAGATATGCACACGGACAC